AAGGGTCTTCAGAGAGAGGGACCAGGAAGTATCCCTGTTGCAAAAAGGACATTGGGGGAAAATCCCTATGGAGGGATACTCCATTAACCCTGAGACAGGAGAGACATTTTAGTGTCTATTTAAAATGACTTGAAGGATTTAGATGACCCCTCCTGGAAGGCATCCACCTACGTGTATAGTGTTGGTTGGATGGGAGGAGAGAGTGGCTGGGGGCCTGGGAAGTTGGGACGGGAAGGAGGGTGGGAGTAAGTTGGAGGGAACTGGTTTGATAAGTATAATAAAAAAAATTTACAAATTAAAAACATTAAAAAGATACCAATGTAATTTTCAAAAAAATAAAGTTAATATTTTAATAATTTAAAAATTTTACCTCTATTGACTTTGAAATATCACACCTCCACAGAGAGAACATCACTTCCAGCACAAGTTCTAATAGATCTTAATAATAAAAACTCACAGTAATCTGACAGGGAGGGGAAGGTGAAAATTGAAGGATCACAGATTCAGAGTATCTGGCTACTAGAGTTGTTATCTCTACCTATTCTCAGACAAGCGATGTGTTCCTGTCCTCACACTGCCTACTCAGATTGACTGCTATCGCTTCAATCCCTCAGACTAACTTCTCAAACAAAATCATCTCACATCATGCTCTACTCGCTCCTCTACCTTATCTTCCTCTCTCTGTCCAGCCATGTCACTCCTATCTCCAAATGCCTGCTGCTGGGAATAAAGGCCTGATTCCCATGTCCTGGGACCACCTTAGTGTGAGCTGTTTTTCTTTTAGACAGACTTAGTATGTGTCTAACTAGTGCCATAGTGTGTGTGTCTAACTACTGATTTAATGTGTGTGGATAACTAGTGACCTAGTGTTGGTAGCTAACTAGTGACTTAGGTGTGTAGTTGACTAAATACATAGAAATACATAGGTGCATGGCTAACTACTATCTCAGTGTGTGTGTGGCTGACTATTTTCTTGGTGTTTGTGACTAGCTAGTAAATTAGATGTGTGGCTGACTAGTGACTTAATATGGGTGGGTAAGTAGTGATATATTGTGTGTAACTAACTAGAGACATAGAGACTGTGGCTAAATAGTAACCTAGCTTTGTGGCTAACTAGTGACTTAGTCAATGTGGTTAATTACTGCTTAGGGATGTAGCTAAATATTAACTTAGGTGTATGATTAACTACTGTCTTAGTGTGTGGGGCTAAGTACTGCTTTATTTGTGTGATGGACTTGTGGCTTAGTTTTTGTGGCTAACTAGTGACATAGGTGTGGGGCTGACTATTGATTTAGGTGTTTGTCTAAGTAGTGACTTCATATGTGTGGCTAAATAGTGAGTTAAGTATGTGGCTAACAAGTGGCATGGTGTGTGTGGGTACTAGTGAGCTAGTATGTGTGGCTAACTAGTGGGTTAGTTTGTGGCTAACTAGTGGCTTACACTTAACTACATGTGTAGCTAAATAGTGACTCCGCTTAGTAATCTGATTGTTAGGAACTAGCAGCCATTTGACCCCCCCACCCTGAAGATGGGCGGGACCCTCATGGCCATGTCATTGCTACATCAGCTTTACCTGATGGCTCAAGGTTTACCTGGCAGCCAGAGGACTCAGTTACACATGTGCAAGCCTCCCCTTTTAAAGCAAGTGCCCCACACCCCCTCTTTCTCTCGTGCTTTCAGTTGGCCACCAGCTACCCCCTCTTTCTCTCCCTTCTCTCAACAATCTCCACGTGGGCGCTGAGTCTCGCGTTTGTGTTTCTTAGGCATTAGCTGCACAGCAAAAGAACAACATTGGTGCCGAAACCCAGGCAGGCTCTACGTGAGGGTCACTGACAGCTGTCTGCTGGTGGGCGGCCAGCCAGAAACACTCAGGATCTTGTTTCAGATACCAGCGTTCCACCACCATCCCCCCCCCCTGTTCACTGGAAATACCATCCCACACAGGCTTCAATTTGGTAAGGTACCCTTTTACATTTTAACCCAATTCCTTAAGGTCAGGTACATTCCATGGGTGGAAGACATACTGCCCAGTGTGGTATATAGGCTCTGCTCTCAGACTGCTGAGTATTTCCAGCCTCTGTTGGTCCTGGCAACGTTTTCGGGCTAACGAGCTTCGAATAACGCTCTGCCATTCTCGAGACACACTCTTGTGGCCACACTCTTGGGCTGATGAGTTCCAAAACTGCATGGTCACTTTCACTCCACCCATGGGGAATAAACCGACCAAGGAAATATCTCCCACCACTCCACTGGGATGCCTGATAGAAAATTTAAAACCCTTTCACTTAATGCCCCTTGTAAAATCACCCAGACTTATTTACCTTTGTACTGAAAAGTAGCCTAGATATCCCCTAGAAAATAATTCAAATTGGCCACATAATGGCTCTCTAGATCCCGATATTTTATGGGATCTTTCAAATTACTGCCAGGGAACAGATAGATGGAAGGCGTTTTTTTTAATATCTCTGCTAAACAATCTCTTTCCCTAAACTTGTTTCGGTTCTCTTCCTGGCACGCTCAAATTCTCCTGCCTGCCCCAGCTGCAACCTGTCTCAGCATGGTGGGCTGGGCTGAGGCAGCATCTGCTCAAGACAAAATTACATCTCAAAACTTTACGATTTCTTTCAGCTGTTGGGAATATGTTTATGGCAGCCACCATCTTGACCATGTGGCCTAGCTTTACCCACGATGGTTCTTCTTTCTGCTACATCAGCCATCTAGGCAGAAAGAGTCTAGCCAGCTTCTGCCACCAACAGAACCTGTAAGTCATTTACCGTTTGCCTTTTATTCTTTGTAATATCTTTTTTCTCTGACTATGTTATACATAGCTTCACACTCTTGTCCTTCTCAATTTACCCAGTCCTGAATAATATATCTGTACATTCGATTTCAACTTAACTTTATGTAAATGTAAGCTAACTTCATACAACTTAAATTCAACTGTTCTAAGTCTCAAATATTTCTAAATTATTATGTGCCTTTAAATGGTGGAATTTCAGGACTGAAAAACAGGACGCGGCACCACAGGGAGATGAGAAATGGAGTCCTGGAACCTCAGAGACCAGAAGAAGTTTAGGAACTGAAAAGATCGAAACAAGCCCAGCACATGCCGGGAACTGTAGTTAGGGGCCTTGAAGTCCAGAAGAGAATATCAAGGGGAGAAAAGAAAGAAGCAGCCACACAGCATGCTGGGAAGTGCAGTTCTGGACCCCAAAGTTTTTAACCGGAAGTCCATTCATAGAAAAGCGGACACAAATCATGCTGGGAAATATAGTCCTTGGCTGCCAAAGATGAAAATAAGAAGTCCCTGGGCAGGGAAGCAGGAAGTGGCCACAGAGAATGCTGGGAAATGGAGTCCTGGGCCTCCAAAAACTACAAACTGGAAGTTTCATTGCTGAAAAACAGAAAGCCACCGCAGAGCATGTTGGGAACTACAGTCCCTGGCCAGTACAGATGAAAACCGGAAATCCCTGGGCATAAAGGCAGGAATCGACCGCACAGGATGCTAGGAAATGCAGTCCTGGACATGAACATCCAAACCCAGAAGTCTCTGGGCAGCGAAGCAGTAAGCGGCCGCATAGGATGCTGGGAAATGCAGTCCCAGCCACAGCAGTTACAAAAGTTCCTGATGGCCTTGGCTCAAGTCAGCCTTGGCTGCGATCTGCGAGCAGAAGTCATGCCCCACCCTTGATGATTGAGATGAGTCTCTACTGCCAGGTTTCCCTTGCCAGGAAATCCAGCCCTCGGCTTGCAGCCTGCCCCTCTACCTTTATAAAGATAGCTGACATGTCCCCGCCCAGTCAGCCTGTAGATCACACCCTCAGCAGACCTCATGGCCCAGAGGCAGGAAGTGGGGTCTGTAGTGATTGACAGCTGGAGGGGCAGGGTATGCGGTGACTGACATTACAAGGGCCTGGAGGGGTGAGCTCTGTGATGTCACAGGAGCCACACTCATCATCCTCAGGGTTTTTACTCTCATAACCTGCTCACCATGGCCACAGCCCTCTGGGTCCTAGCATTGCTGCTTGGTAACCTAAGAGTTTGGTAGGAGACTCCTGCCATGCCCAGCTGGGGGTGGAGATGGTGAGGGTAGGGAAGGAGGGCACTTCCTGCTCACAGTCACAATTTCCTGTGATGTCACTGCCAGGACCAAGTCCTGTCTGCACCATAGGTAATACCCAGACCCCGGCCCTGCCCTCGGGGACCCTAGGAGAGAAAGTGGGGAAGGGACTGGTGTGGTTGAGGGCAGGGCCTGGAGAGGGTCACTGATTGTGACCTTGGACACTGTGACCTCGGGGTAGGGGACAGGTGAGCTAGGGTAGTGCTGAAGAGGTGGGGCCTGATGCTGAGCAGTAAAACCCTGCCACTCATTTAAATATGCAAATGAGGCTACTAAACTGTTATGTAAAGGATGCACTAGTAATTTTGATTATGCAAATAAGCACAGTGCCTGAAAATCTGGAAGTCTGATTGGGGCTTCACATTTGAGTATGTAAATGAGCAAACCCCAGTTTCGGAAATATACTTTAATATGCAAATTTGTGCTGCTTTGCATGCTCATCTGTTTGGGACTTTGACCTGCAAATACATGCAGGTTAGGTCATTTGGAGGTGTGGCCATGCAAATTAACCCCAGCAGTTTCTGTACTTGATGTCTTCTGAGTCTCCAGGCAGCTCTTGAATATGCAAATCAGAGTGAGGCAGGGGGTGGGGCCTCCCCTGACCCTGCTCCTGATGTCAAATGTCCATCACAGGCATCTGATGGTGAAGCTGCTCATGCAGGACCCAGTGAGGGCAAGGGCAGGGCCCATGGAGATGGTGAGGGCGGGACATCAGGAGGGGCGGGGCCACAGGGGCGGGTTTAGGTGTACTCCCCTCTGTGGGCCTGTCCCCTAACCCTGCCTCCACACACCTCACCCCATGTCCTGTGTCCTAGCACTGGGAAGTGATGCACTTGAGGGAAGCTTGCTCTGTCAATCAAACACAATGCACCAAGGGCATCATGGGAAATGGGTCACTGCTTCACAAACTCACCAGAAGTCCCACCCCTTCAGTAACTCTCTCACCAGAATACCCGCCCGGACAGTCACATACTCATTCTCCATCTACAATCCTCATTATTGGGGTGTGGCCGGACGCTGGCTGACAGGGACGTGTGGTCCCACATCCGGGAAGATGGCAGCCAGCTCACGCATGCAGCGGTTGAGTGGAAGCCCCACAGTATTGAAGAAATCCCCTTCCACGCGCTCTGCTAGGGCACCGCCTCGCGCCTGAAGCCCGTAGGTGCCAGCCTTGTCTCTGGGTGCAAGGCAAGGACGAGGTCACACCAGGTGCCATGCTCAGCCACACCCACGCCCGCCGGGGACAGCTCTTCCTTTTCAGGCCTCACTTCCAGGTTTCCTGGCCCCACCCACCCCACCCCGCACCCACTCACAGAGGCTCTCCGCTCTCCACGTATTCGCACAGCAGTGGCTCCGATAGCCGCGAGAATGTCACACGGGTCTCTTCGTGGAACAGTGACAATTTCACTTCTGCTTCTGGGCCCCTTCCACCTCTGGGGCCTCTGGGCATATGGAACTTGGCTCCTGAAGCTGCCTCCGCCACAGTGGCCTCAAGATGGCCACACTGGTGATGACACTGTGCTGCTGGCCACTCAGCCTGGGCGGGGCCAGGGAAGGCGGGACAGGGCGTGGCTGGCAAGGGGCGGGGCTGGGGTGGGCAGAGGCTGGAGCTCCATGCAGAGGCCCCGCCCACTCTGCCCTAGGTGGGTCTGCCCCGCCCCTTCAGGCCCCGCCCACCTGCACAGCATCCTGTAGGCATCATCCTTGTCCTTTGGCTTCTCCAGGATGAAGCCATCCACGGCCTGCAGTGGGCGGAGCAGACGCCAAGGGGCCGGGTCAGTGAGGGGCAGGGTGGGCAGGGCCGGAAGGAGCGGGGCCTCACTCACCAAGATGGTGTCAGCTCCAATAATGACATTAGGAGGGTGCAGGTCCTGCAGAGCAGAGGGCGGGGCAGGCTTGTGGGCGGGGCATCGACAGGAAGGGGTGTGGCCTACCACCTGACCAGAAGGGATGGGGCCGTCCTCACCCTGCGCAGCCGCGATGCCACCTCCAGAGCCTTCAGCTTTGCTTTCTCCCGGGCATATTCGGGCAGAGCCGGAAATCTCGCCTTCTCCAGGGACTCCTGGAAGTGGGAGGGTACGACCTCGAACTGCAGTCCCTGGGGGGAGGGTGTGCTGTCAGAAACAGCAGGCCCCACCCCTGGAAGTCACAGCTGACAATCCCAGAGCAGGCCCTGCCCCTGGAAGTCACCATGGAGGACAGGATGTCCCGCCTCCTGGGGGAGCTGCTCGCCAGCACCACCCTCTTCCCCTGCAGCAGCCTGTTGAGTGGAACCAGCTCCATGTTGAAAGGATCGCACATTTCCGGTCTGGGGGGTTCACTTCCGTTCTGGGAGGGACCAGAAATTGTCAACTTCCGGCTTGAGACAACCAATTCCTGTTCCTCTGAGATGATGGGACTTATTTCCTGCCCCTGGGTGCGCAAAAAAGATGGCGGGGTTCAAGATGGCCATGGGCTACAGTGTAGGTAAAAGGAAACAGGAAATCCTGCCTATGCCTGTCTATGTCAGAGCCTTAGCCTCAGGGACCGCAAGTCCCGCCTCCAGCACACACAGGAAGTGATTGAATGAATGAATGATTGTACAATGAACTAATGACTGAAATGACTGAATTACTTCATGAATGACTGACCTTTGACTGAATGAGTGAATGAATGACTGAATGAACTAATTAATGACTGAATCAATGAATGAATGACTGCATGAATGAATGATTGAATGAATGACTGAATGAATGAGTGAATGACTGAGTAAATGAATTAATGACTGAATAAATGAATGAATGACTAAATGAATGAGTGATTGAATGAATGAGTGGCTGAGTGAATGACTGAATGAATGAGTGAATGACAGGTGTTTGATTGACAGCTGTGTGCCCTACAGGCCACGCCTGTAACTCCTCTGACATCACGGCTCCCGTGACACCGCCCATCCCCTGTGAACCTCTCTAAGTCATTAATTCCTGGTCAATGCTCCCATGCAGAAGTCCCGCCCCGATTTACCATGTTGCCGGAAGTCCCACCCCGGTTTCCCCGGCAACAGGAACCCTGCTGCCAACCGTGGCATAAACAGGAAACAGCGAAAACCAGAGGGGTGCACGGACCTAGGGTTGCGATCTCTGTTTCTGCCCTGTTCGCCGCACCCGGAAATCCCACCTACCGCCTCGATGAGTGACAGGGAATATGCTCTGTGCTGCCTCTTTTGCGGTCAGAATCAGCCGTTTCTGACCTGTTCACTTGGACCTGTTAGTCCCGTCCCTTAAGGCGTTTCCTATCAGGCCCGCAATGTCCGATGCGATCAATTCCCTTCCTGGGCCGAAAGCGGATCCGATTTAATAGCCGCCCGGTGGGCAGGGAATCGCATGTTGCACCATCCGTAAGCGGAAGTAATGTGCCAGAAGCGGAACTCAGGCCGCAGGGCACTCCGTCCTGTTTACTTCACGGGTGGAACTCAAGTTGTGCATCTCTTCGTTGCAACCTTTCCTGGGGACCATTTTGTGTGAAGCTCAAGTCAGTGACTGGAAGCCTGACGTCCTTGGTTCACAAGCGGAAATCGTGTGTCAGTTTGGCCGGGTGGAACTAGAAGCATGTTTTCCATGTGTGTCTTCCGGGGACACTGACAGCCACGAACCAGAAGCTTTAGTTCGTGAACCGGAAGGCGGAAGTCCTGAGATCGCAGCCGCTTGTCAGCGGTGCAGGGGACCGTCCCAGAACCGTGTGTTTGCAAAGGAGTTCCTGGGGACAGAGTTGTGAGAGGTGCTCAATGTCTGTAACTCTGTTCCAGTCACTCTAGGAGGTCTCTCCCCCGGCAGAGCCTCAGTAATGACGGATAAACATCAGGCAGGCGGGCACTCTGGTTGCTCCAGCGGGATAGATGGGTCCAGTATTTTCAAAGCAGGTCCAAGAAATTTTCAGGAGGTGGAGGTGTTTTTTTGACCCGCTCTCTGTCCCAGTGATCAACCAGACCAGTGGAGCAGTGGGCGCAGTAGGACACAGGGTGGGGAAAGTGCAGGTTCTGGATGGGGTGCTTTGTAGATCAGAGTACTAGAACTTTACTCTCTAGAGATAAGATATAGGGTGTGAAAGACAAAAAAGTAAAGTTAGAGAAATGCCCCATTTTAAATGAAGGACAGACTAAACTGGAAAGTTAACCCCTAGCAATATCTGTTCCTTGGAATCTGCTAACTTACCCTCGCAAGGCCCTGAGAAAACAAGATACCCAGAATTCAGACTGTCCCTCCTTTCTTGTGAGTCAGCAGGTGTTGAATAGGGTCTTTAAGAAACAAATAGATAACTGCACCTCCGGTTTGCCCAGACAAGATTAATTAGCACACCCTGAGGCCCTAAGGTCTGTTGACCCTAATAGGTTGACCAGCTAAAAGGGTCATGTACTCAATGGACAGAGGGTGCCACCCCCTCCCTAAGCATGGGGTATTTGCCTTTAAAAACACCTGTGCCGGGGGGAGGGGTGGAGGGAGGAGATGGCTTCTTCTCACTAGTCTGCATGCTGGAGGGGCCCCTTTGCACAAATGTTTCCTGTTCATTAAAGCCTCTTGCATGTTGCAGCAACTGGACTGGACATTGAGTTCTTGGGGATACCGATGGAAACTGGGAGACTCCTCATTCTGAGGGTCTTACAAAGCTTGAATTCTTGAATAATGCAGATTGTTTAAAACTGCTCATTGAGTAAGATGTGCTGGCTAACAGTAGTGGTCATACACAAAAATCTTCCTAGCTCCATTCCTCTCTAAATTTTCAACTTTCCATGAAGAATACTCTTTTTATAATTTTGTGTTTGTTAAGTGGTTTTTCTGAGGTTCAGGAATAAAACTCCTACAGTTATAGAGCAATGATCAAGCTTTCTGATGAGAGAAAGACAAATTATCAACTTTTTGATCTGCTTCCTGCTTTTATTTCCTGTACAACCAGGCCAATAACACCTCATGCTACAGAGTGGGTGATGTGCCCCCATGGGTACCAAAACTCGATGACCATGTCAGGAGTGGCTTCGTCTTGACAGAAACAAACACACTGGAGGTGTTTTGCAACTGCTGCCATTTTTACTTTAGAGTATTGGGTTTTTATACAGAAATTACAAGGAACATATCTTTGGTCACAATTTACAGACATATTATAAAATGCCAGTAATTCCTTTGAAGCATGAGATAAAAAAAAAAAAAAAAAAAAAAAAAAAAAAAAACACTTATTTTCACCTGCCTGTGGTCAGTGTACCAGAGATTTGGTTTACTGAGTTAGAGAAAAGTCATTGTCTCTTAGCAGTAAACTGTTAAAAGCATTGATAAGAACTCTTGCATTGCTTTACTAAGTTTAGAGGATAGTCATAAACTTTTAACAGTATTTTTCTGTCTTTTTTATTATTTATTTTTTATAACCAAGTCCATTTAAATGAAAACAAACATCTATAGACAATATTTGGGAATTTGGGCGTCGTTCTTTCCAAACCACTTCCTGCTGGTAAGGGGCGCTCTCATGGGGGATTCTAAGAAGATGCTGAAATCCTGGCTGTATTCTGCAAGGCTGCTTTTTCCAGCTGTTTTGAATGTAGGCTCATTTGGTACTCTGTTTCAGGCGGTCTGGCTTGATCAAACCACATTAGTATGGAAGAAATCCACAGCTTTTCGTTTTCTGTGGAAAAAAAAATAGAATAGATATCCTTTTCCCCAGTAACTTGTCCTTGAACTTAATGTTTTGAGTCAAAGCATATTTTTTTGGTAATTTATTATTATACATGTCGATCCCAGTTCCCTTTCCCTTCCTTCCTCCTTCCCTCCCTCCCTCCGAATCTTAAGGTTTCTGTGCAGTGACATCTAATGAAATCTCGATCTCCAACTTGGAAGTAATGTGAAACTTCCACGTCTCCCACCACGTAGGTCTCTCAGGGCTGCTTTCTTGCTCACTGTCTCACCCACTGGAGCACCTTAAGCCTAGCAAACAGAGGCTTAAGAAAACAGCACATCAGCACTATGTACAGAGGTAATTTCCACCAGTGGAGGGAGCTCACCAAAGAGCCATTTACAGGGGCTCAGCCCAAACGGTCCAGGGGTGTTTTTAAACCTGAAAAGCACAAAGGGTAGGAGAGCTATCTGATCATTAACGCCAGTCTCCACAGTCAATTTAGTGAAGGTCTCCTCAATGGTTTTATTTATACTTTCTACATGAATTGTTGGTTTTGTATGCACAATGTAATTTTAATCAATCCCCAGTATCTTGGCCAGTGATTTACTTACCTGGGTCACAAAACCTGGACCATTGTCTGATTTCACTACCTTAGGTATTTTGAATCTTCAGAAAATTTTCTTCAGTAATTTTTTTTAGCCACATGGTTGAGACAGTCCCATGCACATGAACAGTTGAAAAAGCATACCTGTTGCCTGTTAATGTTTATGGACTTCTCTTCGTCGAGCAGTACCACCGCCCCAGTCCTTTCTTTACCTTTTATAATGTAACTGATCCTGGCAGTGAACTGGTCATCATCTCCCCAGCCAGCAGGATGTCGTTAAGATCTTTGCAAACTCCAGTCTCTTTAACCAACAGTTGATGGCAGTCATGAGTCCCTGGTTCACCAGTCTCCACAGGCAGAAGAGTGGTGGGATGAGGCTGGCTGGTGGAGCGAACACAATCAGCTCAGTCTCTCAGTGAGAAGCAGGCTTTGGTGGTGGGTCCCGCAGGCGTTGGTCATCATCAGTTGGTGGCTGCCAGACAATGCTCTCCAATGCATGGGGGCTATTATTGTTGCTTTATGCCCCAAAGTCAACTTGTCAGCAGTGATATCTTTTTGATAGACAGGCCCCCCCCTTGCTACAGGATCAAGCTTCTTTGACAGATAAGCAACTGGTCTGTCCCACGGCCCTAGGGATTTGGTTAAAACTCCCCAGGCGACCCCCTTATGCTCATCCACATAAAGGGTAAAAGGTTAGTTATATCAAAAGGCTTAGAGCCAATGCTTTCAGCTGGGCCTTTTTAATGGCATCAAATGCCTCCTGGTGCTCTGGGGTCCAGGAGAATTTTTTCCTTAGTCAGCCTGCAAAACCCAGATGTCCCCAGAAATTCTCCTACTTGTCTGGCCATCGTTGGGGAATTTTAAACCCTTGGGACAGTCAGCTCCAGATGAGCTGCCTAGTTCTGCACGTGTCAGGGTCCTTCCATTCAATGGCAAAAAGCAGTTGGCTGGTGGGATGTAACCTCGAACGAGTGGGGTACCCGGCCCACGCCGAGGTCCACTGTTCTTTGGGTAGTCCATGAATTACCTTGGGCTTTGGGAGGGGGTGCCAAACCCCGTTTCCCTTTAATTTTATCCGTTCTTAGGGCTAGGACCTTCGATACCTTGTCTTCTTGGGACAGTCATTTGCCAAGTGTCCTTTTTCTTTACAATATGCACACTGTTCCTCCTTGTCAAGTGGGGTCCTGTTGCCCAGGTTTCCTAGCCTGTTTTAAATTTCCTAACTTTCCTTTAACCACTGCAGCCAAGGTATTTTAGTGAAATTCTTTTCCTGTCTTCTTTCATGCTTTTTCTCTGCTCTCTGTCTCTCTACTGTCTTTTGTTTCTCTCCTTCCCTTCTCTGTCCCTTCAATACACTTTCTCTGTCTCTTAACTCTTCCATTCTATGGAGTTCCTTCCTAATATCTGGGGCCCAATTTCCCCATGAAGACCAGAGCCACCGAAGCTCTCTGGGCTTCTGAACTAGGGTCAAAAAGTGTTTTCTTTAACTTAGCCAAATTGGTGGGCCATGTCGCGGCACAGAGTCAAGTACTCGAGTCAAAAACATGTAACATCAGATGCATCAGGCATACATCAAACATATAGGTTGCGAGCTCTTTCTTACCTCCAACTGGCAATGGAATTGAGTCTGGGGGTTGACCAGATCTTGGTGGAACTTCCAAAATGTAAGACCCTCGGAATAAGGAGTCTTCCAGTTTCGGTCGGTACCCCAAGAACTCAATGTCCAGTCCAGTTACTGCAACACACAAGAGGCTTTAATTTACAGGAAACATTTGTGCAAATTGGCTCCTCTGACATGCAGGCTAGAGAGAAGCCCCCTCCCCTGGGCCCAGGTGTTTTTTAAAGGCAAACTCACAATCTTAGGGAGGGGGTGGGACCCTTTGTCCATTGAGTATGCAACCCTTGGAGGCCGGACGGTCTGCTATTAGGGTCAACAGACCTTAGGGCCTCAGGGTGTGCTAATTAATTTTGTCTGGGCAAACCAGAGTTAAAGCTATCTCTTTGTTTCCTAAGGACACTAT